TGTGTGTGTGTGTGTGTGTGTGTGTGTGTGTGTGTGTGTGTGTGTGGTTCATGTCCTTTGTGTGTACGATGCACTTGTGTTTCACCTTAATTCACGAAAACCATCACCGCCCTTCCTGACCCGCTTCACAACACTTTCACACTCGCAATCACACCTCCCTCACTCTCCTCACCTTACCATCTCAATCGCCTCCCGCCCCCCTCTTCCTTGTGTGCGCGTGCATCAGACGCTCGTTGCGGCTGGCTCTGAGAAGCCGACGATTGCGACGTCGTACGTGTCGTTCTACTGCGATCTCCTCTTCAAATATGGCGGATCAGGCGCAGTCCTCTTTAGCGAAAGGTGCGTGCCCATCCCTCGCTCGTCACACCTTGTTGCCACCAGACACATGTCTCTCTTCCGGTGCCGTGATGGATGTGGTGACTGTCATTGATGATAGCTCTCCCACCCCAACTCCTCCCTTCTCTTGCGAATCGACACGTTGCACTCACGTTGACACTTGACTTTCTTCTCCTCCTTCCTCCCCCTCCGTTTCTTCGCAGCCGCAAGTGCCTCGTCAGCAAGTCTGGCGTGAATGTCCGCGCCGAGCTGTACACTGACGTCACAGGTGCGCCCGCATGATGCACATGTAACAACAATTATACGCACTCAACACACGGTTATGCACAGTATTGTACACACACACATACACACACACACACACATTTCTCTCATGCCGCACCATCTTTCTCCACCTTTCTCCACCTTCCGCGTTATTGTGGTACAGAGCTGCGTGCGCTGTGCTCGCTGATTGGCCCTTTTGGCGTGAAGCAGCTGAATGCGGATCTCGTGTCGCGTCTCGGGCACCTCCTCAAGGACATGAAGGCCATTGCCACCACCAACCCGCGCATCAACGAGCTCGCCCAGTGCATCCACAACGCATCGGACACAACAGACGTCCTCCGCTCCCTCAAGGGTGCGACCAGTTTGCTCTTCTTCCTTTGCTTCCTTTGCTTCCTTGGCTTCCTTTGCTTGTTGTAGTTGTGTGGTTGAGTGTCGCGCTGTCTCTCCTCTGGCAGCAGCCGCCAACCTGATTGCGCCGCTAACACCCCCCTAACCCTCCCCCCTGACCCTCCCCTTTCTCCTTTGTTTGCCCGTTGCAGATGTGGACTTGTTCTTCAAGCTGCTGTCCATCTCGGGGCTCATCCTCAACTTCCGCAAGCTCGTGCTCGAGGCTCTCTCTTCCGTACGCCCGCCCGCCTTGAAATGCCTCTTTGCTGGAACGCCACACGCACACACGCACACGCGCACGCACACTCACACATGCATGCACACAGATGCAGATGCACACACACACGCTCACACACACGCTCACATGGGGGCTGGGTTGGTTTTGCTTCCTTCAGGTGCTTGAGGACCGCATTCCGTTCATCTTCACGACCATTCAGGACCTGCACCAGCACGTCCGCGGATCTGAGGTGACGCCGACACCACCACCACCACCCGCATCGCCAGCAACCATGCAATCACACCAATCAGCCCATTCTTTCATGTGCAAGCGCATCATTGCAACTTGAAAGCATTCACAGCTTACCATGCCTTCGTTTGCTCTTTTCCATTTGTATGTATTGTGTGTGTGTGTGTGTGTGTGTGTGTGTGTGCAGTCTGTGAACCTGCTGGCGCTGACGGCTGGCCTGTCATCGGAGCTTGACCCAACGCTCATCCGCGAACTCCGCCCATACATTGGTCCGTTCTTTCGTTTCTTTACCCAAGTCCCTTCCTCGCGCTTCTTGTTGTCCTTGTGCCTCTATCCTCTCTTGCGTCTCCACGGTTTGGTTTGTTGCGCTTTTTTTTTCGCAGCGCCGCTGCCGTGCTCATGACTCGAAACTCCCTCACGTTGTTTGTTTGTCGCGCCGCACGCACGCGCCAACACCCAACTCCCAACCCCTTCCCACCTTCCCACCTCCCTTTGCTCCTGGAACCAACAACATATTTCTCACCTTTGTTGATTCTTGATGCCGGTACGCGCGTGTGTTCTGTACAGACGACCCGCAGCATGTGCACATGCTTGTGCTGCTGTTTGGCGTGACGCTGCGGCACATTGGCACGTCCTCCTCGCTTGCCTTCAAGCCCGCGCAGGGCACTTTTGAGGGCAACTCGCAGTGCATTGCAACGGCGGCGGCTGTGCTGTCGTCCATCCTCATGGCGCTCTCCTCAAACCCGTCTGTCATGCGCCAGTCCATCGTCCAGGCACAGAAGCTCATCATCAAGGTGCTTTGCTAAGTTGTGGGGTTGTGGTTGTGGTGGTGTTTTTCACTTTTTTCAGTTGAGCCGTGGAGGTGCTTTTGACTGTGGTGGTGTTTTCAGTTGTTTCAGTTGTGTTGTGGGTGTGAGATACCCCTCCCTCGCTCCTCTGGCAACATCGTTTTGATACTTACTCATACCCTTCAAACACACGCATCCACAATCACATTGGCGTGCCCCAGATTGGAAGCGTGCTGCTGCTTCGACTGCAGAAGGAAGGCGGAAAGAACCGCAACACTGCTCTTCTCGTCCTGAACAAGGTTGGCGGCTCCTGGCTCTCTTGTCTTTGGTTTCGTGCAAGCACAATATGGGGTGATCTTGCATATGCTGTGCCGTGTCTGTGTGTCTGTGTGTGTGTGTGCAAGTGGTGGTGACGGCTCCAGCTCGCCCCATCTTTTGTCCTTTGATCTCTCGCCATTGACTGCACCACTCATCGTCTCCTCACGCCCGCCCCCCCCCCCCACACTGCACTCTGTCGCTTGCTGCCGTTGCTGTAGATTGTGGAGGAATCGCCGTTCCTGACTGCAGATGTGTTGGAGGAGTTCCTGCCCTACAGCCTTGTCCGCTGCGCACAGCACGCCCTCTGCGCTGTACGTCACTGTTCTACACTGCATGGACATGCGTGCATGCACTGCTGCCATTCTTGCCCATGTGTGCATGACTATGTTGCGTTCTTCTGCACCGTGTCCTTTTCTTGCACCTCTCACAACACTCTCTCGCGTCATTGCTGCGCTAACTGTGCACCCACCGACCCACTCACTCTCACACACATACACGCACACACACACACGCACACACACACACACACACGCACACACACACACACACACACACCCGTACTCGCTCGCTCCTTGACTGTAACTTGCTGCTCAGGGCACATCGCACCAGCAAGTGGTGCCTGAGGAAACTGCCTAACGCCACACATGTGGCTGCCGTCCTCTTCCCTCTTGTCTCATGTGCTTTTTGTGTTGGGTGTTGGTTTCTGTCTCGGGTGTGTTGTTTGCTTCACAGGTGTCTTGGTGACAGTTGTGCTTCTTCTCTTGGTCGTGTTGTCGACGTGTCTGTGTGTACAACTTGTTTGTTAGCCTTTCTGAATTGCGCTGTTGTGTTCATTCTATTACACGTGTCATCACTGGCGCGTCAAAAGCGATCATCGTATCTTCTCTTGCGCTGCACGGTATTGAGGTGTGTAGGAGAGGAAAGCGAGATGAGCGGATCGCGGAAAGGAGCCCAGCGGTTCAGGGAGTGAAAAGGATGGCTGTCACAGCCCACACACACACACACACACACACACACACACACACACACACACACACACACACACACACACACACACACACACACACACACACTTGCACCTGTTCCTGTGTCTCTTTCTGTCGAGGCGGTCATCACAGGCATAATGGCTACTGCGGCGCGATGATGACTGCATGTGCCGCGCAACCTGCACAAACATTTAATGCCACGAAGCGCGCACACACACACACGCACGCACGCACGCACGCACACGCACACGCACACGCACACACATGCACACACACGCACACACACACACGCACACACACATTTGTGTGAAAGGGTCTCGGCGACAGGAAAGTGCAGCAAGAAGGGAAGGCATGCTCAGAAGCTCAATGAAGAGTATTTGTGCACAGCCAGCAAAGCAATGTCGTGAGAGACCAAACGACTCACTTCCAGTGGCCTGTCGTCAAGCATAAAGCCGTTCAGATACTCAACAGCGACATCGGAGTGCGTGGACTCATAAAACCTGCAAGGGAGTGAAAAGGGGATGCAAAGGAGCGGTGTCAATGAGAGTGTGCATGAGGGATCAAGCGTGAAGGCTGAGTGCCCGCTTGCAGCGACAAGCTGTTGTCATGCAGACACACACACACACACACGCATACACACACACACGCACACACACGCACACACACGCACACACACGCGCACGCACTACAACTCACTCCACAAGGTATACGCCGGTACGTAGCCGCGTGGACGGATCCCGCTGGACTTCAATGTGCTTCACTGGCCCGACCCTACGCGTGCACGAGTGCGTGGGGGCACGAGTAAATGTGTGTGTGTGTGTGTGTGTGTGTGTGTGTGTGTGTGTGTGTGTGTGTGTGTGTGTGTGTGTGTGTGTGTGTGTGTGTGTGTGTGTGTGTGTGTGTGTGTGTGCGCACATGCACAAGAGAAACAGCGGCAAGTCCAGTGCTGCGTTTGGTGATTGATGTGCGCAGCGCTGCATACAGAGCAGAGAACACTCAACGCCAACACTGCACCAAAACACACCACGTACCGTTCAAATACGGAGTACAGGTGCTGCAGCGGCGTGTACAGCGCCACCCCGCGCACCTCAAGCAGCCCCATCATCCAGTGACAACGCCAGTGTGAAACGACGTTCTCTCTTCTTCTCTTCCTCACAACCAAACTGTCACTGTCGTTGTTTTGTTTGTGCGCCAGCCAAACAAACACAACAAACACCACACCCACCACCCCACCGCCACAACAGGACACACGCAGACACACGCACGCACGCACACACACGCAGACATGTTCCTGTGCCGAACGACGTCTGTGAAGGAGAGAAAGGGCGAGGCTGCCGAAGACTCGGCTGCCAGCGGCGGCCTGCCGTTCAACCCGCTGTACATGAACGAGCAAGAGTACGAGGTGGTGCAGGCGGAGATCAAAGCGCTGCTTGAGGACGCGCGCGCGGCAGAGCCCCAGATCACGGAGGCGCTGCAAGACGTCGCGGAGAAGCACGGCGCCCGCCTGGCAGGGCTCGACCACCGCACCAAGGAATACGAGAGCTTGCTGCGCAAGGGCATCTCCTACGTCGAGTGGAACCGGGAGCAGCTGGCAAGCGGCAGTGACACAAGTGCCAAGGACAAAACGAAGCAGCAGCAGCAGCAGCAGCAGCAGCAGCAGCAGCAGCAGCAGCAACAACAACAACAACAACAACAGAACGATGGCGATGGCGATGGCGATGCGGATGATGACAGCGGTGGCCCAGCATCCATTCACGACATCGTTCGCGACATTGGCGACAGCGTGCGGTACACGATGGTGCCCAAGTTTGAGGAGTACGTGTCGACGGTGAAGCACACGGTGGAGACGCTCAAGGAGCTGGGCATCGTGGTGCTGCGCAGCCGCAACTATTGGGGCGATGGGGACCACTACCAGGGCCTGAACATGACACTGAAGCACCCGACCGCAGGCGTGATGTTTGAGCTGCAGTTCCACACGGAGCAGGGCCTGAAGATCAAGAAGGAGTGCCACAAGCTGTACAAGAAGTACCGTGTGGAGAAGTCGCCCTTCAAGAAGAAGCGCTACTTTGATGCGGGCTGCAAGCTGGCAAACAAGGTCAAAGTGCCCGAGGGCGCGCTTGAGCTGGACACGATCGTGGAGACGGCCCCGCCAGACCCCGTGGAGCTGCTGGCCGACGACCTGCGCGTGACCAGCTTGCTCCTGCGCGAGACAATTGACAGCATCCTCGGCCCGCTCATTGCCGACATGCAGCCATCGGCACAGGGCAGCAGCGGCGGCGGCAGTGGCGATGGTGGTGGAGATGGTACTGGTGAGGAGCAAACGGCAACAGAGGAGGCGGAGGAGAGCAAGGGCGAGGGACAGGGACAGGACAAGGGAAGCCAGCGAAAGCAGAAGAAGAAGAAGACAAAAGGAAAGAAGCGGGCTGGAACCGGTGGCCGTGGCGGCGCTGCTGCGCAGAGCGAAGTGGCAACCAAGCAGCGGCTGATGGCGGAGATTACCGAGCACATGGAGAATGCCAAGTCGAAGAACGTGCGCGACGGGTCCAAGGCTGTGACCGATGTGCTGCGCTACCACGTGGTGGTGCCTGCGGACGAGTACGTGCCTGCTGTCGACCGCGTGTTGAAAGGGCTGGAGGGGGAGCGGCAGGTGACGGCGCGGCCCATCCAGAACTTCTGGCAGCACGGCGACGCGTATCAGGGGCTGCATGCGCCGTTTGTGTTTGTTGACAAGCGCGCAGGCACCGTTCCGTTTGAGATTCGCTTCCACACGCCGGAGACGTGGGCGCTGCTTCGTGGGCGCATGGCCGCATTCCTGGCCTCCCTCGACGCCCTCCCCGCACACGACCGCAAGCAAAAGTACCAGGTGTGTTGTCTGTGTCGATGTGTGTGTGTGTGTGTGTGTCTGTGTGTCTGTGCGTGTGTGTGTCTGTGTGTGTGTGTGTGTGTGTCGATGTGTGTGTGTGTGTGTGTGTGTGTGTGTGTGTGTGTTGTCGATATGTGTGTGTG